AGTCCTGTGGATAATCACAGTGACTAATCTGATTGCAGCAATAATAACTCAGTTGCTGACTGGAAGCGTTAAGCACTTTGTGATGCACTCTACATGCATTATTTAATTTCATTCTTACAACCAGGCTATGAAACAGACATTGTTATTCCCGTGTTTGGGAACGTGAGGCAAGAGATTTGAGCAGCACGCCCATAGTCTCTCAGGTAGCAGGTGGCCAGAGCCTGTGCTCTATCTACTTCCCTAAGCTGCCCTTCCTCACAACGCCCACTGCCTTCTCTGAGGCTGGGGAAACATTCCCACTTCTCACTGGCGTGAAAGGACAGGCTCCTCCTATATGGCCCAGTGAGAATGACCCCTCCCTGTGTCTCCCCCCAAATACCCACCCAGGTAATCAGGTTTGCTGCACCTTAACAAGGTCCACGCTCTGTGTGGAGTGGGGGCAACATGAAGGCCAGGCTTTCTCATCCTTCACTCATTTCATGAGAGCTGAGGTGTCACCCTTTAGTTGTTGCTGAGTCCGTTGTCTCCCTACCCACTGTGGCTTGCCCATCCTGGCCCGTGGTATACAGGGGCAGCTGTAGGCAATAGACCCCTTTTCCAAAAAGGGCCCAGGGGGAATGGGTAGACACAGCCTGGCTAAGCCTGGGGTCCAGTTTTAGTGGCGCTTAGAGTTGTCAACATTGTGTGGCCTGCACCCGAGCCAGTTCTTTCAGCTGGTGGCTTCTCATCTTCCTTTGTTTTGCCACCTGTAAGACAGGGATATAGCATCTCCCACTCAGGGTACCAAGTCCTGGAGAGTGTGAGGCCATAATGAGATTATCTTATGTCTGAGTCAAGACACTTACCTGGGAGCCACTCCTTAACCCCCCGCCCCCGACACACACACACTTGGGGACCTGGGGAATGGCTATTTTAGAGCTAACCTCTCTACCCACCAGAATTGCCACACCCACTGGGGATACTTCCCCTGTTTACCCCCTATCCTTCAAGAGCCCCTGCACTCTCTCCTGGGGCCTGGATCTATGGTGGACTTTTCCCACAATCCCACCTCAACTGCCAGAGAACTGCCCAGGCTTGGTAGTCTTGGAGGTGAAATAAGAGGGCAGCAGCCAGAAACTGGGACCAGTGACTCAGAATGTCCGGAGGTGGCCCTGAAAACCGTGCAGCCTGCCTCCCTCTCCTTCCTCTTCCAGCAGCCCACCCGCATGGGACCCTGTCTGGTACTGCATGGGCTGCAGGTCCTGGTCTCTCCCTTCCCAGAGCTGTTCCTCATGCTCAATGTGTCACTCCTCTGCCCCCACCCCTCTGCTGAAGGGGGTCCTGGCGCCATCACAAGAGCTTCATCTCTGGGGGCACTAAGACTGATTGGTCCCCAGGCCCCATACATGCATGTCACTGTCCCCCTTGACTGCAGAATTCCACTGCAAGCTTACCCTCCCCCAGTGTGACACCCATGCCTCCTTACACCCTCTTCACCTGCTTGCAGAGATCAGTGTACTTCTCAATCGTTGTCCATATCTTTTCCAAAAAGATTCCTCAATGCTTTTCTTTTCAAAAGGGAAAAAAAAAGGAAAAAAAAAACAATGCCAACAGCCCAGCGTCCGTGAGCAACCCAACAGTAACAAAGCATGCATTCGAGATGGAGGAAGGTAAGGCCACACATTTCCATTTGCCGCTTGCTCCTAGGGCTGGGCGGCTGGGATGTCTGGAGGGTGACCCTACGTGCGCCCTCCTCTGCTTTACTCCCCGCCACACTCACTGTGCTCAGTGGGAAGAGGAGAAAGGGTGTGAGAGAAGGTGTGTAGAAAAGTGCCCAGGAGACTGTCCCAGGGCAGCCAGACCCCTGGTCCTTTCATTATTAATCCAGGGCAAAGAATGGGCCCCACTTCCCCTCCCCACATCATTCACTCATTCATCCATTCAAGAAACATGTTTGGAGCACCAACAATTTGCTGGGCCTTGTGATTGCCACTGGGGATACAGAGATATAAGGCTCTCCACCTGCATGGGGAGCCCTAGGAGGGTGGGTTGGAGGGCCTAGGCTAGGAGTCAGCACAGAACACGGTGGGGCCTGGCCAGCTTTCCCAGGGGAACAGGATGAGCTCATGGAAGAGTGACCATTTGTGCTAATCTTTGGAAGATGAGGAGGCGTGCTGGGACCCAGGAAGCCTGTGAAGGGCTTTCAGTCAGAAGAATGTGTCTGAACACAGGCCCAGAAGCCTAAAGCAGCCAGGATGGAGAAGTGCATATCCACACAGGCTGATTGCTTTGGTTGCTCAGACATAGTGGGTAGGTAATGCTAGTGAGGTGGAGTCTGGAGGACAGGTCATAGGAAGGCCATTTGGTAATGCTGGGGGATGTCAATATCCTCAGGACTGTTAGGAGTCACTGAAGATTTTTAAGCAGAAGGAAAGCAAGTTTGTGCTGTAGACAGACCACTCTGGCTTTGGTATGGAGGTTCTTATAAGTCAGGAGACCTATAAGGCACTGTGCGGGCCTACCCAGGACAGTGGCGGAGAGAGAAACTCCGTGCCTGGGTTGCCCTGGGATGTGGAGTGGGGAGGAAAATAGGAGTGAGGCAGCTCCGGCTTACCTGGCCCCAGAAGCAGCAGATTCATCTTATAAGCTCCTGGGCAACTGTCCCTGCACTGTCACAGGATGGAATAGAGTGTGTCCACTCAGACTTGTGTGGTGGGGTCACCATGGCTGCTGGGTTGTTGCTGGGGTCCCGCATCAAGGGGCAGTGGGGTGCCATGCTTGGTCCCAGGCTTTGGTTCTCTCGCCTTCCTTGGCAGTGTGGACAAGGGGGCATTTTTCATCAAGGCTGTTGGGGCTGACGCTCAGCTCTAAAAAGGGGTAATCTTCCCCATCCTGCTCCTTCATCTGGGGCTTTCCTCCTTGGACCCGGTGTCCAGATCCTAAGGAAGCCCCTGCTTTCCTTGCTACTGCTGGTGCTACTCTCTGCCCTCTGGCCCTGCTGCCAGCGCCCCCTAGTGCCAGGATGGCAGTGCATGAAGACGCGGGCCTCTGAAACCCAACTGAGCAAGTCCTCCCTGGCCACTGCGGCAAACTCCTTGGCTTGGCTTGTGGGGAAAGTGAGGGAATGGAGGGAACCCTCTGGAAGTCTGAAGTTTCCATATAGAATTCCCATGGTCTACTCTTTGCTTTCCCATGCTCTCCCTTTCGTGACACAATGGTCTGTGCCCCCAAATTAGGGTGAGACTGAAGAATGACCAGGAAAAAAGAGATCCCGCCCAGCCGCCACCTGTCTTATCCATATCCAGATAACTCTTGGCTTTTCCCAGGTCAAGGCCCAACAGGGCAGCCAGCATCTCTTAGAGATCAGGGACCTGAGCCAGGCCCTCAGCTTATGTACACAGCTCCCTCCTTCCACAACCCAAATCTGTTAAGACCCAGCTACTCAGAAGGCTGAGGCAAGAGAATCACCTAAGCCCAGGAGTTGGAGGTTGCTGTGAGCTGTGTGACGCCACGGCACTCTACCATGGGTGATAAAGTGAGACTCTGTTTCTACCAAAAAAAAAATCTGTTAAGAGATTCTGGTGTTCCAGTGCCCTATCCAGCCCAGTCTGAGCCCCAGATTTGGCTGGTGCATCCTGAGGGCCCCTCACACCTGGGCCCAGGTGCCTTCCTTGCCCTCCCTCTGTTCTGTGGCTGCTGCTGGGCAGCCTCAATGCTTCACGGTGGCCTGCAGGGAGTGAGGGACAGCAGTTAGTTACAGGCTGGCTGGTGACGGCCAGCCCAGGAGTGAAGGCCATGACCCCTTCATTCTCTAACCGAAGCCAGCTGTGTTGTGCATATCATGGCAGGGGCCTGCGAGTGAGCACAGGCTGGAGATCAAGGTCTCGAGCCAGACAGGTGTAATATTTGAGCACACCTTGCTGTTTCAAGCACCTTTCTTGAAGTCTTATGCTCCTGAGGTGGACAGACCAAATGCCCTCAGTCACAGGCAGTCTTGAAGAAGGGTAGGTTGCAGGTCACCAAATGTTGGCTTGCGACAGACCCTAGAGACTGCCTGGGTGTGTGTGTTCTCACATCTTGGAGCCCGCTATGAGGGGCTGAAAGACAGTAGGATCTGGCCACTTCAAAAAGCCAAGAAGCAATTTCTGCTTCCTCGTATTCAGCAAGTAGGGAATTTTATATTCCCAGCCTGCTTATCCCAATACCTGTCTTGGGTCAAGTGATGGTGGGCAGTTAAGGTGCCCATCGCTGAATGAGATGGGCCAAGTTGTCATAGCCAAGCTAATAGTGTGTCTGTGCAGGGGTCAAGCAAGGGAAGGAGGAAGGGCAGAAACCTGCCTGCTTTCCAGGTTGATCTGAGGGGCACCCAGGACAATTGGGGGCTGAGATGGAGGGAGAAAGGAGGCACTCCAGACAAATTAGGACCCTCTCCCACTTGTAGCAGGCCCCTCTGGAAACAGGACACTTTCCAGAAGGTGCCAGAGATGAACTCAGATTGGCCAGCAGGCAGATTGTATGGGTGACAACAAGTGAACAAGTGAGCCAAAGTGGAGACTCCACAGCCAGGTGGGACAGGCAAGGAGAGGTAGGGATGGGTCAGGCTGGGAAGCTGCGGCCCTTCCTATGTCCTGACTTTTCCCCTCCACTTCATCTGTGGAGTTGGGAAGCATGCTGGCTGAGCAGGAGTGCCTGTGCAGGTGCGACCTGTGCCTTGTGAAGAGCAGAGCTGACCACACAGTTAATCAGTGTGGCCACACTTCTGGCCTTCGGGGCTTTCCCACATCAGGGAAAACCATAGTCTAAAACTGGAATCTGTCAGCCAAGGGGGCCTCTCCCTCCCCTGGCTGAGCCTCCCTGTGACCTGGGCTGCTGCCTGCCCATCCGAGGAGCAGGTGGGTAGCCCCCAGCAGAAGGATTCCAGTGGACCCAGAATGGTGCCTCAAGGCAGGCAGTCTGGCCTGGAGTGTGCCCCCTGCCCCACCCCACTCTGACCATGCCCGGCCCTCTCCTCTGTCTTGCAGAACTTCAGCGAGAGGGAAGCATCGAGACTCTGAGTAACAGCTCCGGTTCCACCAGCGGCAGCATCCCGAGAAACTTCGACGGCTACCGATCTCCTCTCCCCACCAATGAGAGTCAGCCCCTCAGCCTGTTTCCTACTGGCTTCCCGTAGGTACCAGCAACCTGCTTCTGACTGGCCAGCCCATTCACCTGCTGGAGGAGGGGAGAAGCCCCCCTCTGGTCCTACCCTTCAGTCTCGGCTCCACTTTTCATCAACCATGTTCCCTAAGCTTAGAGACAGCAGCCACCCATCCTAACTGGATTGAGAAGAGACCCTTCTCCAAAACACCTTGGTGTACCCTGACCTCTGCCACACCTGTCAGTGGGGGCTATGGCCGAGAGAGACTGCAGAAGCTCAGTCCCCTTCTATGTTTGCACATGACATCCTACATTGGATCCGCTTTTGTATTTTTTAACATACCCCTAGGAGCCTTGAACAGTGACCATATCTTGGGTGGGGAGAAGGTGGATGGTCCAGCAGAGCATTTGACCCTGAGTGGACAGTCTTAGCCCCAGCCCACTTCTGGCTGTGACACATGCTGCCCCCCAGCTTCCTTTGGTCAGCCCCCCTCCAGCATGGGGTGAACTGAGGCCCAGAGTATTAGGGAAGGATGAAGAAAGGAGATGCCTCTCTTTCCTCTCTTCTTTCCTCATCAGCTCATGGGAAGACTTTGTTTCTTATCTTTAAGCCCTTTTACCCTGGTCCTGTACTGTTCAGCGAAGGAAACCGTGGTTACTGAGGCCCTGTCAAAAAGTGCACGTCTTGTCTAATAAATCACGCTGCAATTGGTGTCTATCCTTGAGTTGCTGGGATCAGGGTCCTCTCCAAATGCTGAGCAGAGTCCTGTGGGCCCCTCCATGTGTCTGTGGAAGGTAGGAAGGGGAAGGAGAATTTTGCTCTGGAATTTGGGTGGCACCTGATTAAGTCCATTCTCCAAGCTCCTTGACTATTACCAGAGGCAGTGAGGTGTCAGGTGCCAGTCAGGCCCTTGCCAGGTGCTAGGGAGTTGCTGTGGGGAAGAGAGCTTGGCAGAGCCTCTCTCATCTTTGGGACACTCTGTAATTGCCTTTCTTTTCAAACTCACAAGGTGGGAACGCAGTTAAGTGAAGATGGGTATTCATGAAGCCTGCTAGAACCTCCAATGACAAGTTCCTGACTTTGTTCTCTCTCTTCTCATTTCTGGCCCTAAAGTGAACGGCCACAAGGAGACAGGAGAAGGGGGAGAAAAGGGTTGTTGAGCAGATACTACTCAACTACTAACGCTCATCCCAGTCACCCCCTTCTCTGCTCACATATCCCAGAGACCCCAGGGAGGCCTTAGAGGACTAAAAGAAACCCACTGAGCCAAGTGTGGTTTGGGGTGAACTTTAATGGAACAGCCATAGAAGAGTTGAGTTCGCAGACAAGCAGGCCTTCCATCCAACCGTCTGGCCAGAGCTGGGCCTCTTCACACACCCTGCTCCCAAGTCCTGGCACTGAGAAGAGACTTAATTTTTAGTTCCCTCACTATATCAATTGAACATGTTAGGAGAAGAGGGATCTGAATCACACTAGGCTCTGTCAGTTCACAAGACAGTCCTGCACAGGGTGGCCTAAGCCAGTCCCTCCTGCCTGGGGACTTATATGGTGAGAAGTCATTCCCTAACTCATGCTAGGAACATAAGGAGGCCTGGGCCTAGCCAGTGGGGGCTCTTGAGGGAATTGCAGCTTTCCCCCATTTTGCTGGTTGGAGACATTGATGATCTGGGCACTGCCCCACCCCCCAGCTACAGCAGTTTTCAGTTAAAAGGGGACGGAGAAAAGAGGGCCACCAGGCTGCCCACGCGTGCTACCCATGGCCTGGCTCCCTGGGGATGGGTCCAGAAGCTCTAGGAAGCAAGAGCCCCTCTGAACCCACCCTAGGACATGTGGATGGGGCAAAGATGTTGCTGCCAAGAGCTCTCTCAGCCATGTAGGGAACTGGCTGGCAGCTTAGAGTCAGGAGTCCTCTCTGGCCCAGCCCTTCCCTCCAGTGGGGGCAAAACAGCTGTGGCCTCCTCCAGTCAGGGAAAGTGGTGGGTGTAGGGCTGGACTTGTTGGCTGAGCTTGCAGGACAATCTGGTTATTCATCTGCTTGTGCAGTCAGGCCAACTCTGAGTATGTGGGGGAAGGGTGAGGATAAGAGAGGCCAGATAAGCTGGCCCCATGGCGGCTGCCACTGGAGCTCAGGTTATCAGAAAGGCCATAGGCCTGGCCCCTGGCTAATTGGGGGAAGTTATGGACCCTGCCATAGGCTATAATCAGCTGGAAGTGAGAGCTGGGTCCCAGGGTGGGGGACCTTACTGTCCTTTGGCCCCCAGAGCAGCCAGCATGCCATCCTCTACAGATAACATCCAGGAAAATGCTGCCTCGCCCTCAGTCTCAGCAGACCTCATGATGGCATCATCTAGAAGGTCATCAGAACATGAATCTAATTGTGGCCAGACCAGACAACCTTGAGGAAGCCATGTAACCTCCCTGATTCTCACAGCACTACCTGTTCAATGGACAAATTACTACAGACTCCTTCTCAATTTGAGGGAGAACGATTTTAGTGATCTGGAAAGAGACTGACAGGAGCTGGGGTGGCAACCGAGGAGCAGGGATACTGTCTAGGACTGAGTTGACAAGTGTCAGCAGTCCCAAGGCAAACTCAGGCACACAAGCACCAAGAATAGGGCCAGCTCCTCTGCAAAGAAGCAGAAGCCAGGCCAGGCGGCCACCAGTCTGGAATTGGAGATGGTTTTTCAGCACTGATTTTTTATTATTAGAGATCAGAGACTCTCTAAACAAGAAGTTACCTATGATCCTCTTTTTTTTGTTGTTTTTTTGGTTTGTTTGTTTGTATTTGTAGATGTCAAGCCTGAGCCCTAGAGAAAGGCAGAGCCTTGCCCAAGGTCATGAAGTCACACACTGGTCAGCTGACACCTGTCTGCACGTTCCTGCTTCCCACCCCAGCCAGTTCCTTTAGAGGGGCCTGAATCTCCTGACCACTTGTGCCCCCCACACAATCCAAGGGGCCTGACCCCACTGATCTGACCCCATGCTTCACTCCTTCAAGCTTCCAGGTTGAGTCCCTAACTACCTTGGCAGCTGCTCCCCCATCCCTATGTAACTGGGAAAGCGCCCTCCTCCTGCAGACCTAGAACTGGAAGCTCTAGGGAGAGAGCATCTTGTATGTCTTAAGTTCATAGCAAGAGCCCAGAGAGGGCAGAGGCCTTGGAGTATAGAGTGTGAGCCAGCAGCAATGGCATCCCCACCTTGTAAGGAGTGGATTTTGGCATGCTCTTTTAAAAGTCTTAAGGGTCAACAGCACCCTGTGGCCTTGGGTAAACTTTACATCTGGGTTTCTGGGTCCTCATCTGTAAAGGAGCAGGGGTGAGGAGGAAGGAACGTGTACCTGCCTACAGGAGCAACATAGCCCAAGCAGGCAAAGGGAAAACTGCAAGTCACAAAGGCAAAAGGGTGAGGTGCAGAGGCCAATGGGGTAGGCCAGGTAACTCCTTAATGGCACATCAAGAGGGCTGTGCCTGGATTATGGCAGCTACCCCCAGACTGCCCCAGGGAATCCTGGCTCTGCTCCCTGCCTGTTGAGCAGTAGCAGGCCAGCCCCGCCCCTTTGTCACAGGTGGGCCCGAAATAGGGGTCCTTCCTATTTTTTACCCCTCTCTCAAGACACTCACCAGAGTTCTGTTCACGCTCCCATGATCCCAAACGCCCACACCCATAATTTCACACTCATGTATGTCCACGCAGTGGGCTCACCGCTGCTTTTACACCTTACTTCTGCCCACCGCGACCCGTGGGCCCCAGACCAGTGAGTAGTTGGAGCTCCCAGGATTACAGGATCCCCAAAACTCTGAGGAAGTTACCCAAAGTCTGGCGGTGGAGGTGGGGGGCGCGTGGCCTTGGTTCTTGGCCGCGGGATCTCGCCCTCAGGTGCAAAGCACGTCCCTCCAGGGCCATCTATCCGGGCCCATAGCAGCCAAGCTGGGCCTCGCCTTGGTGTCAGCCTAGAAGACCGGCCAGGGCCACACCGGCAGTGGAGGTGGAGACACTTCCCCGGGCCTAACTGTTGGAAGTGGCCCCGCTGCCTGTCCTGGCATAAGGCAGCAGCCACACCGCGACCAGGAGGGAGTCAGGCTGCCCGCTCTCCCCGCGTCCCCCGCCCGGTCCCAGCCAGTTGGCCCGACCCTACGCGGGATAATTGGGACTGGAGAGAGGCGACGGGCGGGCGGCGGCTCCAGAGAGACTGCGCGCCTGTCAGCCGCAATTTGTTTAAGTGGACGGGACAGACCCGGCCGCTGCGGGCTGGGGTCACCAAGGCCGCGGCCCCCACCCCAGCCAGACCTGGGACCGCGGGGGAGCCCGGCCGGGCCGCTAAATCGGGCTGGCTGGCGCCACGGCTCCGGGAGGTACGGGTGGGCAGAGAAGCTGTGATGGGGAGCCACTCTGTCCGCGGGAGCGTCTTCATTCACGCACGCGCGCGCGCGCGCGCGCACACACACACACACACACACACACACACACACACGTCGAGAGGGCCATGGACGCCTGCGGCATCCCCACAGCTGGTCATACGCGAAGGGCCCCACACGTCACGCTATCTCGGCCTGGGCACATTCATATACTACCGGGCACTTCCATGCCAGTCTCAAACGCCAGCACCCCGTTACTCAGAAGCACGTCGGTCCCCTCCGCCACACGACCACACATCCCCACACATCCACTCTGCCCGGGCTCGCGCAAATCCGCGTCCATGCAGTCAGACGAAGGCACCGGCAGGGACCTCTTTTGAGGTTCATACAACCCGGGAAAGGTCCTAGCAGTGTCCCTTGACCCTGAGAGAGGTTATGGGCCAGAGGTCTGACGGGCAGCCCAACTCGGTTCAGGACCGCAGCCCCACCCGGCCCAGGCTGCTCCGCCGGATTTCGTTGTTGGCAGGAAGCGTGGAGCGCACTGACCACGCGCAACGGGCTTGAGGCTCAAAGGCCCGCGCCCGCCCGACGCTCGGGCCTGGGACCGCCGGGGAGAGGGAGGGGCCGCCGAGCGCGCGTCCCCCGCCCGTCTGCGGGGCCGGACCGATGCGAAGTGACAGGGGCCGGAGCTTTGTTGTAGAGCCTCGGCCGCCTGGCGCCAGCCGCCCCCGCCCGTGCCCTCCCCCTCCAGCCCCGGGCGGCCTACAAGGCGCCCCCCGGGGCCTCTTAAAGAAACACGCTCATTCGGCCGGGGGAGACTCCCTCGGGGCGCCTGTTCCTGGGAAGGGGAATGAGGGTAAATCCAGGATGGGGAGGGGCCAAGCGGGACCTGGGGGCTGCAAGGCGGCGCTCCAGGGCCACCCAGCCCTCCCCAGAGCCAGTTTTCCGTGAGCCTCGGATATTCCTAACTGGGGACCCCTGGCTGGGGTCGGGGGTTGTCCACACGCAACCCTGAGAACTGCTACAGCGGGACGTCCGGGAGTTGCAGGACGGCGAGGCGGGGCAGACAGTGGGATCCCGGCCCGGAAGAGCGGGGGAAAGCCAGAGGGCAGGTGGGTGGCTCCGTAGATAGGACTGCGGTCCCCAAATACAGTCGCTGCATGGTTTCTTGGGCAGATATCCTGGGCCTGTGTGCTTCAAATTCTTCACGCCTTAGACCCCAGGACCAGCTACAGATTCTCACCAGGAAAATAACTAAAATGTACACACTTAGACGTACACACATTCTTACAAGAGCAAAAATATGCGTGTACACACACACAAACGACTTTGCAAAATGTATTCACAGATTCCCAGGCCTGTGCCTAAGGAAAGCTGTCCTGGCTATCTGGTCACTTCACCGACTGCACAAACGAGTCCACACGGGTACCACCCCCGGGGGCCATATCCCGTCTAAGATGGAGCTGGCAGGTCTTTGCTTGTACAAAACTGCAAAGTACCCTGTCCTGGCTGCGTAGACTGCGCAGCGCGGAACCAAAGATTCGTTCTGGGCAGAGAAGAGGTACAAGAGAGAAGTGACCTCGCCAGAAGTAAGGTCGTGGGGAAAGCCCTGGGGGCAACGCCAACAAGCGCGGTGGGATGAGGAGTTGTGAAGGCCCTGGGGTCGGCTCCAAAAAGTAGAAACACGGTCAGATTACTTCTGCTAGTCCCAAACCCTCACTGCCAGAGGTGATCCAGCCTCTACTCGCCCGCTCTCAGCGTTCAGCTGTGAGATGCCCCGAGGCTGTCTGTGCGCGGCGTGTGAGCACCTGCCCAGGTCACTGATGGATGTGGGGTGTATGTGCCCACCACGCAGGCATAGAACCCGTGCGGGGCCAAACTCACCCACACTTGCATTTGTTGTAAGGGTGGGAGGGTCACCTGTGGCTAGTGCATGCTCCCTGGAACCAGATTTGAGACAAGTGGGTGGTCGCTCCATTCTCCTTTTGCACACCTTGAATGACAGCTCTTTCTGCACACAGAGGGCACCACACTGGGCAGGAAACACACACACACGCACATCCCAACAATATACGGGGAAAAAATACTGGCTGCTGGAAAATGGAAGACGAAGAATGATCGCCGAGGTGGACGGGAAAGGGAGTCAACCACAGGTGCGCGGAGACACCCCGACTTCCGCACGTGTTACTCAGCACTCCTTTACTTGGGAGACGTGCGCTTCAAAGAGATGGAAACAAACTCTATAAAGTGGTTAGGAAAGCGGAGAGAAGATGCCAGTGTTCAGGACGAGGGAGATTTGCGTCTCCGGTACCGCTTACGGCGAAAATTCGTTGGGTCGCGGATGCAAAATCCGGGGTCCGGAATCCGCCGGCGCAGTGCCGCCCTGTGCTGAACAGAAGGTGCGCTCACCTACCCAGCCCGGGGACCGGGTCTCCGCGCCATCGGAGACCTCAGGGCTGAGTCCAGGACCTGCTGGGAACTCCAGGTTCCTCCAGAGTCTTGCTGTGAGGGAAGGGGCGGTGGTCCTCGCGTAACCCGCCAGGCCGCTTCCCGTTCCAACCCGAGCCAGCCCCAGCAGGGTTCTGCCATGGCTCCACTCACCAGCTCCCGCTACCTGGGTTCCGCTCCCGGACCTCGGACCTCGGCCACCCGAGCCTCCCGACTCGCCCGCCCACTGGCCTGGCTTTACAGCTCCTGCAGCCTTCTTCCGGAGTGCGGGGACCCCAGGTGGTGCCGTGACCCAGAGCGGGGTCGCAGGCCGGGCCCGGGCGCCGGCCAGAACTGCCGGGCCTCCAGGCACGGGAGAAAGAGGGCGCCCCCTGTCCTCTCGGGCCTATGTCAATGCTTTGCACTTGGGGGCTGGCGTGCAGCTGGGGGGGTCCTTCCCGAATGCCCTGGGACCCGGGCACCCCTCGCCTCAGGCCCTGGCGGCGGGTCAGGTCGGCCTTTCGCGCTTTCCAGTCCCAGCTCAGGCAGCCGCGGCGCGGGAGGCGAGGCGGGGGCCGGGGCAGGGGGAGGGGTCTCGGGGCCCGCCGGCCCGTCATTGGTTAATATTTTATTCTGTTGACATGTTTTCTTACTGCTGAGGCTTCCGACACCTTCTCCCCGGCCCCCCCTCCCGGCCGGAGCTTGGCCTGAGCTGTCAAAACTCCGCCCCCGGAGACCCACAATTGGTCCAAAAAGCGTAAAATCAGCAATCAAGGGGGGCCTGGCTCGTTAGCGCAGGGGATCCGAGCAGGGCTGGACATGTGAGATAGTCACAGTTTTCCAGAGATCACGACAAGATCTAACCAGTCGCGCGTGGTCCCCGGCGCCGGAACGGGCCAGCCCAGCCCAGCCCAGCCCCGCGCAGAGCCCCCGCCGCCCCCGCTCACACAGCCCCGCGCCCCTTCCGTGCCCGGGACAGGGAGCCGGGAGGAGCAGCTGCCGCGCCCTCCGCGCCGGTCGTCGGTCCTCAGCGCGCGCCGCCGCCCGGGCCGGGGGTCCGAGCCGCGCGCCCCCGGCCCCGGCCCCCGGGCGCCTGGGCCGGATGTCCCGATGAGAGAGCCGGCGCTGGCGGCCAGCGCCATGGCTTACCACCCGTTCCACGCGCCAAGGCCCGCCGACTTCCCCATGTCCGCCTTCCTGGCGGCGGCACAGCCTTCCTTCTTCCCGGCACTCGCACTGCCGCCAGGCGCGCTGGCCAAGCCGCTGCCCGACCCGAGTTTGGCGGGGGCGGCAGTCGCAGCAGCAGCGGCGGCAGCAGCGGCCGAGGCGGGGCTGCACGTCTCGGCACTGGGCCCGCACCCGCCCGCCGCGCATCTGCGCTCGCTCAAGAGCCTGGAGCCCGAGGACGAAGTGGAGGACGACCCCAAGGTGACGCTGGAGGCTAAGGAGCTGTGGGACCAGTTCCATAAACTGGGCACGGAGATGGTCATCACCAAGTCCGGGAGGTAGGGCGGCCGGCGACTGGCGGGCGCGAGGGCAGGAGGGCGGGCTGGGGACCGGACAGCACCGACCAGCGCAGAGCCTTAGCTCGCCGCTCCCAGCTGCCCGTTCCCGGCTCTTACCCAGGCGCCACGCTTTGCTCTCATAGACAACCAAGTTGATTTCTCTTGTTTGGCGCAGGAGCGAATTTCTTTTAAAACGAAAACACCAAAATCCCCTGAATGAAATAAAACGAAAACATGCTCCTAACGAATAGCAGCAACCGATCCAAGTACCAGAGCCGTACAGGACTGGTGGCTTGGCCCTGCTGCTTGGCCCTAGCGGGTTTCTTCAGCGCCATGGTCTCGCTCTTCTGTCTCGGGGTCCATTTCTGAATTCCGGGGAAATGCAGCGTCCCCGAGACTCTTCTCCGACCCTGGAGACCGGAGTGAGAATGGCTCCCTGCTACCCCTTGTCCGGTTGCTCAGTTCCCAGCAGCAAACACCGGGTCAGCTGAGAGCCAGCCTCAGCCTGACCCTCCCGGAGATCTGTCCTCAGAGCTCCGAGCTCTGGACGCATCCGCCGCCCCAGGCCTTAAAGCCAGAAGAAAGCCACGGTCCCTAACTCCACCACCCCATGTCTCAGCCACTGAGAATCCAGGCCTGAGGCTCACCCTCTTCCCCCGAACTGCGGGATCAGGGCCCTTGATCAGGCGCGTTAACCCAGTTCCCCAAACAAACACCCTACAAATTTGTTTCTGAGCGCTTTGATCACAAGTGGGTTTTATACTCTGAACGAATTTCAAGGAGAGTCGGGAGAAGCGAGTGTATTTCTAGAGGGCCTAGATTTCTTTCCTGGGCACTGGCTTTCATCTCGGATCAGGGAGAACAAGGTCTCTAACTCCGAGCATAGGACTGAAGGGAAGCCCTGTAAGAGAGGGTCTGACAGGCAGAAATGGGATCTCCTGGGAGTAGCGACCGCAGTTGGGGTCTTCCCAGCAGTGATGAGAGCAGGCAGGGCAGGGAAACACAGACCAGAACTCCCGGCAATGGTGAACTTCGGTGTGAAGGGGAGAGAATGGGAAAGAGGGGTCCCAATGGTGTCTCCCTCCTTCCTTCTTCCCAGGAGGATGTTCCCCCCCTTCAAGGTTCGAGTCAGCGGCCTGGACAAAAAGGCCAAGTACATCCTGCTGATGGACATTGTGGCTGCTGATGATTGCCGCTATAAGTTCCACAACTCTCGCTGGATGGTGGCAGGCAAGGCTGACCCCGAGATGCCCAAACGAATGTACATCCACCCAGACAGTCCCGCCACAGGGGAGCAGTGGATGGCCAAGCCTGTGGCCTTTCATAAGCTGAAGCTGACCAACAACATCTCTGACAAGCATGGCTTTGTGAGTGTGGGATGGGTGGGGATGGACATTACAGCACCCAAGGAGGAGAGTCAGGCGAGAGGATACCCCAGCAAGGAGTGCTGGCCAACCCCGAGAGTACCCCTGCCCTTTCACTGCCCTGTGGCCAGTGTGGCCTGGGGCTGGGCTGCAGGGCTCTATTCTGCCAGCCTGGGGAATGGCGGGTGGGTGGCTGGTAAGCTTCAGGCTGCTCTCAATCTCACTTCCAGTCAGGTCTTTGAGGTCCCCTCCTAGGATCGGGACTGGATGTGCAGTCCTAGTCTCAGGGAGGTCACCCTGCTCTGACCTGTCCAGGACCTCAGCATGGCCCTCATCCTTCCCCAAGACCCATGTGCCCAGCTCTCCTCCAAAACTAGGGGATTTAAAAGTTAAACCCACTCCTTCCACCCAGCCTCCCTAAGTCCTTTCCCTCCTCCCACAAGCAGATGCCCAAGTAGGAGGACAGAGTTGGGGGGATTCTCTCCCCTCCTGTCTGAACAAGTCCCCAGTGAATGGGGGGCTCCATGGGACAAAAGGAACTACCCTTCTGTGATAGGCAAACCCCCTGAGGAAGGCTGGAACCCTTTCTGGGTGGAGTGACAAGGGGGTTAGCAATGAGAAAGAGGGAAGTTATAGGGCATTTGTTATGCTTTGCTTTGCTCTGCTTTGTTTTATTTCTCTTTCTTGAGGATAAAAAGAATTTTTTTAAGTGGAGAAAGAGAGAGAAGCTGTGAAAGAGAAAAGTGAGGGAAAAAATAGAAGAAAAAGAAAGGCAAGAAAAAAGCAGAGAAACAGGAGAAAATAGGGAAGGGAGCAGAACCAAGAGAGACAAAATGGGAGGAAGAGGTTGGGTCCCCAGAGAGTAGAGAAGCTCTGGCTGACCTGCGTCCTCCCCGCAGACCATCCTGAACTCCATGCACAAGTACCAGCCCCGCTTCCACATAGTGAGAGCCAATGACATCCTGAAGCTGCCCTACAGCACCTTCCGCACCTACGTGTTCCCAGAGACCGACTTCATTGCTGTCACTGCCTACCAGAATGACAAGGTGCGCCGGGTGGGCGGTGGGCACAGCCCCTGCACTTACACCCCCAACACGTGCCAGCTCCAAACCTCCACCCCCCCCATCTCCTGCAGCTCCCCCGCATCCCTCTGCGCGTTCACGGCCCACTCCCGAGCACGGAGTCTCTTAGCACCCACAGACATCCTCCAGCCTCCCTTTCAAGCCCAGAACACGTACACACAGCTCCCCTGGGGCGCGGGAACAGCTGGGCGCTCGTTGGGGTGGAGATGTTTGCTTAGCAATTAGCAGAGACTCCCGGCCCGCTCTGACATTTTTACATTTTATTCGTTTATTTCTTGGCTCAGGAATGGGAATTTAAATGAAGAGAGGGCGCCTGAGGCAATCTGCCTAAGTTTTAGCGATGCTTGGAACTCGGGGCCCAGTTTACACCCTCCTGGGGGAGCCAGAGGGTAGGACAGGTGACACAGCTCTCCAAATCACCCTTGGCTACTGTTTTAGGTCAGCCCAGGCCCTGGACCCCTTGGAAGGTGCTTTGAGGATTTTCCAAGTTAAACGGCGCTTTCTGTTTGCTTTTACACCATTGTTTTAGAGGGGCAAATCGTCACTCCCACTAGGCCAGTGCACCCCTGTCGGGGGAATGAGAGGCTACGTGTCTGTGAGGTTGTTCTGTCTCTGTGAACCAATGCATACTCCTGGCTATGCGTGTTCCATTTGGGGAGCCTTGGATTCTTGTGGAGGCGTGTGAATTAGTTTGGGTGTGGGGCACTTGTTCGTTCTGTCTGCATATATTTGCGTGTGCGTGGGCCCGTGAGTGTGACGGTGTGTCTTTGTGTGTACCTGCGGTCTTAACGTGTGCGCTGATGTTTCTGTGCGCTCCAGCTTAGGTGAGGAGTTGTTTCACTTGTGTAGCCGCACGCGGGCCTGAGTGCGCGCTTGGGCCGATTTTGACTCTGTGCTCACAGTCTAGGGCTTGTGTATTGAGGGGATATTCCTGGAATTCCTCTTCTTCTTTAGAGGACAGAAGAGACCCTGTAGCTTTCTTTGAACCCAATCACCGGCCTCACCTCGGGGCGTCTCATCCCAGGCGGGCGGGTACTAAGTGGACACTCCGCGGGTCTCTCCTTGCGGCCTGCAGCCGCTGACCTCAGGATGCCCCCGGCCAGGCTGGAAGAGCCAGAGCCTGACCTAGCACCGCCCCCTTGGTGTCCGCAGATCACACAGCTGAAGATCGACAATAATCCCTTTGCCAAGGGCTTCCGGGACACCGGGAATGGTCGGCGGGAGAAAAGGTGAGGAGTGAGCTGCGCTGCACCCACGGAGGGTGCCCTCGGGAGCGGGAAGCAGGAAGGGTGCCCTCCTTGCTCACACGATCCCTCCGCTCATCCCCAGGAAGCAGCTGACGCTGCCATCTCTGCGCTTGTACGAGGAGCACTGTAAGCCGGAGCGCGATGGCGCCGACTCGGATGCCTCGTCTTGCGACCCTCCCCCCACGCGGGAGCCACCGCCCTCCCCGGGCACAGCGTCCAGTCCCCTGCGCCTGCACCGAGCCCGAGGTGAGGGTCGGGGGATCGGACAGGGGCGGGGAGGGGTAGCTGGAGAGGGTCTCCTCACGGCGCCCAGCTGGTCTTTTGCTCTGCGACCGGCTAATCTTAACGGCCTGGGAGGAAGCGCCGATGATTTGTCCGGGATGTGGCTTCCGAACTGGGTCTTTCCTGTGAGGTCGGCCCCTGGCAGCCTGACGGTCCGCTGGAGCCCGAGCTAGGCCCCTCGGGCTCTGGGACTCGTGGTAGTGAGGTTTCCTCTCCAGAGTTCAGTTTCTTCCACCCTGAGGTTTGGATTAGGTGACCAGCAGCTGTCTCTTGTCCGACTCTGGACACTCTTCCGACTCAGCCTCCCCTCGGGAGATCTGTAGAGGCTGCGTGTCTGTCTCCGCCCCGAGGCTGTAACCCCGCGCCTTCTCCCCCTGCAGCCGAGGAGAAGTCATGTGCCGCTGACAGCGACCCCGAGCCCGAGCGGCTGACCGAGGAGCGCTCCGGCCCCGCGCTAGGCCGCAGCCCAGCTCCGGACAGCGTCAGCCCCCCTCGCTTGACCGAACCTGAGCGCGCCCGGGAGCGGCGCAGTCCGGAGAGGGGCAAGGAGCCGGCCGAGAGCGGCGGGGACGGCCCTTTTAGCCTGCGAAGCCTGGAGAAGGAGCGCGTCGCTGAAGCCCGGCGGAAGGACGAGGGGCGCAAGGAAGCCGGCGAGGGCAAGGAGCCGGGCCTGGCGCCGCTGGTGGTGCAGACAGACAGTGCGTCCCCCCTGGGCGCCGGACACCTGCCCAGCCTGGCCTTCTCCAGCCACCTGCACGGGCAGCAGTTCTTTGGGCCTCTGGGAGCTGGCCAGCCTCTCTTTCTGCATCCAGGACAGTTCGCCATGGGCCCCGGCGCCTTCTCTGCCATGGGCATGGGTCACCTACTGGCCTCGGTGGCAGGCAGTGGCAATGGCGGAGGCGGTGGGCCCGTGACCACTGCGGGGCTGGACGCAGGGGGACTGGGTCCCGCGGCCAGCGCAGCAAGCACCGCCGCGCCCTTCCCGTTCCACCTCTCCCAGCACATGCTGGCATCTCAGGTAAGGCCTGTGACCTGGTGGCAGCGCGAAGGAGGGAAGAGGAGCAGTAAGCTGGGCCGCTGGGGCGAGCAGAGGGCTTGAGGGGTGCCAGAGGTGGTTGGAGCCCCCAGGGGGCAAGAACTCGATAAAGGGAAGGCCACTCTGGACGCTCTGGATGACACCTAGGTTCTGAGAAACTAAGACCAGTATGTCTGAGGTCCAGCTAGGACACTGCTTTTGACTCCTGTGTGACCTTGGCCAAGTACCTGACCCTTTCTGGGACTGTTTCCTTCCCAATCATCCCAGTGAAGACTGAGATACCCATCAATACTCTCTTGACTCTGATAGACCAAAGCTGCCCCTGGCTTTTGTGAAGTCCACTCTCTTGACCTCAGAAAAGTTTTTCTGGGAACAAAGACCCTTGCTTCCCTGTCAGTCCTAAAAGGCTAGGGTGGCTGTATAAAGGGAGAAGGAAATTTTGCATTGTTTTCTGGACAATTGACCACCAAAATGAGTCACCTCCCAAGATGTCTCTGGCCCCTTTCAGGCTCTGTACAAAGTCTTCTGCCCCGGCAGAGGACACCATTGGTCTTTCCTTCCCACCTTGATTTCCCCAGCTCCTTCAGCTACATCTCAGGGAAGAGGGGCTCAGTTCCCCAGGCCATGGTTGAAATTCTGAGCTCCCATGGGAGAGTTTATGAAAATGTGGCCAGCGGCACAATAAGGAGATCTGATGGGGAGAGCGGCCTCTTTGGTTGCTTGGGTGGAATATTCCCTGTGGAAAGATTTGGAATCTCTTCATTCATTTTCTTCCCTCTGAGGTTTCTGGCAAATTGAACCCTTGAGATCTTATCTCAAGGGAAAGAAAATAGGAATTCAGGTCTGAGGAAGCTCCTTTGGTTCAGGAGCAAATATGTTTAAAGTTGGGGGAGTCTGAAATGAGTTTTAAACAGAGCTCAAGATCAGTGTGTATGGAGTGTTTGAGGCACCAACATCACAGATTTAGGGTTCTGGGCTGGAGAGGAAGGATGTGGAGAATGAAGTTCAGGACCTGGAGGTTTAATCTTCATCCTTGATTCTGTGTGTATGTGAATGCATCCTCCACGCACAAACTCTGCTGATGATTATGGGTGCCATAGAGGTCATAGGGAAGTCAGGGCTTCTAGACACAGCCTGGTCAACAAGTGCACAGCCAGGGTAAGAGTGCCCAGCACTTGGGAGGCATTGGTTGGGATAACTACTAATGGTTAAGTTTCCAGGCTCCTGTCGCAGCCATTAGGTAGAGCCAAATCCCAGGAGATCTGATGCCTCCTGATGCCTCCTTTCTTCCTCGAAGCCTGAGATGCTGGGTCTGAAATGTGCAGTAGTGCTTGACCCTCTCAGGAAGGCTGTTTTCTCACTCCCCAACTCAGCTGCCTCTTTGCTTTTCCCTGCTTGAACCAGACTGGAGGCTTCTCAGGAGCCCAGCGTAGTCAGCCCCCTGTCCTCCTCCCCATGCCTACACACTCTGGGGAGTGAGCCATTATCTCAAAGGTCAGATAATCTGAAACTCAGGCCTCATGAACTCAGGCAGTGTTTGTCCAGGGTTTCCTGGCTGCTGTGCTCTCTACAGGCAAAGATTTTGCATTCCTTCCTTAGCTGTCACTGCGGGGCTGCCAGGAGTTCTCTATAGAACACTCAAGCCAGTTTTCTGAACTGGTTGGCACCTGTGCCCTTCTCCTGGCCCAGGCAGGCGACTCCCTGAGCAGGTGAGCAGGCAGAAGGAGATTTTACAAAGCTTCCTGTCCCAGCTTTTGCTTCCTTAGCCCTTTGGAGCCTGCAGACAGGAGAGTTAGGGAGGGCACTGTTTTAAATGAGCAGAACCTCCCAAGACAGCCAAAGCTGCCTGCTTGCCACCTGGCCCTGTGCCTGCCCAGTTTCCTCCCCCTAGGCCTTTGCCTATGCTAGTTCAGCCACCTGGAATGTCCTTTCCCTTACCCCTACTGTAATACCCAACACAGATCTTGATGACACAAGGCATCATAGCCTGAAATAATCTCCCCCACTAACTGGGTTTGGCCATAGCACACTGGGTCAGGTGTCCACCTGTGCTGCCCACAGTTACAGTTATGTGAGCTCTGGTTTTATATCCCTAAAACAGCAGGGCAAAGAATACTGGTTGGAGCACCACCCCCAGCCCCCAGACCACCCTCAGAATGCCTAAGGCAGAATGTCTAACCCTTGTGCTCTTCCGTTTCTTCTAGGGAATCCCAATGCCCACTTTCGGAGGCCTCTTCCCCTACCCCTACACCTACATGGCAGCAGCGGCCGCAGCCGCCTCAGCTTTGCCGGCCACCAGTGCTGCGGCTGCAGCTGCGGCCGCGGCTGGCTCCCTATCCCGGAGCCCCTTCCTGGGCAGTGCCCGGCCCCGCCTGCGCTTCAGCCCCTACCAGATCCCAGTCACCATCCCGCCTACCACTAGCCTCCTGACCACGGGGCTGGCATCTGAGGGCTCCAAGGCCGCGGGGAGCAACAGCCGGGAGCCCAGCCCCCTTCCTGAGCTGGCTCTCCGCAAAGTGGGGGCCCCGACCCGTGGCACCCTCTCGCCCAGCGGCTCAGTCAAGGAGGCGGCTAGTGAACTGCAGAGCATCCAGAGACTGGTGAGTGGGCTGGAGAGCCAGCGAGCCCTCTCCCCCGGCCGGGAGTCGCCCAAGTGAGGGGCTGCCCAGCCGCTCCGCTGCCACGCAGGCCTCCCGGGCTGCCTGCCCCTGCTGCTTGGGACGTGTACAGCACAGAATGGGTATTTATTTAAATAAAGGAGCAAAAGTGGGCTGCAAGCAGCCAGAATAGAGCCTCCTCTGGCAAGTTGGGGCCTGGGACACTTCCCTGGGTCTCAGCGAGCATCAGGCTGGCGGGAACGCAGTCGCTTTGGAACCACTAGACTCGGTCCAGATCTGCTCCAACATCAAGGTGGCGTCCGTGGGTTCTCTTTGTCTTCCAGTGCAGTGGGAGAGGCTTCATCCCAGGCCCAGTGGTCGCTTCAGAAGCCAGAGGCGAAGGGGTCGGGGTGGGAGCTTTGGAGGGTGTCCCAGAGCCCTTGGTCTTGGGCCTGGACCGTGTGAGAACCTGGGGTGGGCGGAGGATGCAGGAGCCAGTGAAGACTGAAGTCAGTGTAGACTTGAGACGGGGGCGCCTGTCCTTGTCGTCCTTCTTCCTCTTCTCCCAAAAGACAGGCACCGCTCCCACCCCTGGGTCAGCGGAGGGAGTGGCGCTTCTGCCTTGAGTCCCCAGGGGGAAAAAAAGATATTTATGAAATAAATGGTAATTTGTGTAAATAAGCTTTAAGGTTCCCAGAATATGCAAATTGGTATTAATTTATTCAAAGGTGTACATTGCTGTGTACATATATTTAGAGATTAACTCATAGCATTTAATTCTTTTTTCATTTTACATGAGCATCTATATTGTACAGGGCTGGGGGGCCCTCGGCTGTGGGAGAAGGGCCGAGCCCTGAGCAGCCCCCACCCACCCTGCTGGCCCCTCGGCCCCTCCGCCCCCGGGCTTTGCTCGCCCGGCCCGCGGGCTCCACCTCAGGTTTTCACTTTTCGCTTCGGAGCGAGAATCCAAACGACAAAAACGCGAGAAAACAATAAAACGCTACAATGCGAAGTGAACGGCGCTGTGCGCTCTGTGGGCCGCGCGGGGCTGGGGTACTGCAAGCGCGTCAGGAGGGACTAGCGGCGGGGACAAAAGGTCGGACGCCCCTCGCTCGGCGGCAGCTGCACCCCGGGATGGGGCCGCGGGCGGAGCCGCGAGGCCCGGCGGCGCCGGCGCGGGGCGCAGACCGGGCAAGGAGGCGCCGCGCCGCCTCGCGCCCCCAGCGCAGGCCGCGTCTCGGACCGGGGCAGGGCTCCCCCTGCTGGCCACTCGCAGCCTGTCCGCTGCTCCTGCTGCTCTGCGCCGGATGCCTGCGCAATGGAGCCAGGAGAAGCGCAGCCGGGCGCCCTAGACGCCCGCCTCTCTTTCTGGGGCACCGCAGTGGAAATGCACCCCCCCTTTCCACACTTCTGGGTGGGTACACGTTGCCCCCTCTCACTTCTGAGGGGGGATTTGGCCGTGCCCTCCCCCTAAATACCTCCCACTCTAGAATTCGTTCCCATCTCTCTGCTTCCTGAAACTCCTAGAGAAACATTTTCTCCGAGTTAGGGCTGTTGAACAGAGTGGCAAAATCTGGCCTAAAAGTTCTTCCTAAAGCCCTCCTGGGAGTGCAGGTCAATAGGTTATTCCTTTTCCTGCCTCAGTTTCCCCCGTATAATGATGGGCAGGGTCTCTCTGGGGATCCGCTGGGTCAGACTCCATTAGGCTGGTCATTTTCCTGAGACGCATTCTTGCAAGGACCGCTGCCTCCTGCCCCCATCCGGTGAGCTCTAAAGGGCGGCAGCTTCCTTCCTCCTCCTCACCCAAATCTTGGCAATGGGGGTGGTCAATGGGTGGGAGACAGGCGGTCTCTCGTTAGTCACTGGTCATCAATTTTGAGCCTTGTGCAGTTTTGACTCCCTGGCCTGGCAGGCTACCCACTTTGGGTACTGCCTTAGGTGTGGGTGGGGGCGGAGCGGGGGTGCCGGCTTCCAATTCCCCAGGTATAGTGAGATGAAAGAAGAGTGAAGGTGGCAGTGGAATTGACAGTTGGGCCTCCAAACCCCGGGGCCCTTTGTGGGCCGACACATTTGCAAGGAAAGAGAACCGTGTGGGCCTCTTCCACGCTGAATTTGGCTGGAGGAAGTAGGGGGATCGGCCAGGGCACGAGTGGGAGGGCGCAGAAAACTGCGTCCCAACCCCCAGAGGGTGGGTTCCGGCTTCCCTGCCTCAGACCTTAGGGCGGGGACGAAGACGGGGCAGTCCAGGAACCGGGCGGGGACAGGTAAGCCCCTTTCCCATCTTGAATGGTATCCCTTGTGGGCAGTGTGTTTATTCGAGGTTGCTCTGGGGCTAAAACGCCTCTAAAATTCGGAGAGCCGAGTCGCGTTCGCTTCTCGCGGCTTCTCGCTTTCAGCATGCTTAGGAAGGAGAGTTGGGGGTGGCTGCGGGCCCGCGGCGCCTACGGACCCGGCTGCTAACACCAGGGGGCAGCAGCGACCTGGGGCCGCGGGTGGACACAGTCCGCGAAGGCCTGGCCGGGCGGACTCGTTGCAGCTGCTTTCGGGCCGCGTCGTTGCTGCAGCAACATGGGTGGGTGAGGTGGTTCCCCAGGGCCTCAAGATACCCCACCCCGCCCCACCGCACCCCCGCCGTCGCCTCCTGCCGCACATGTCCCCGACCAGAGTCGCCCACCCGGCGCTGCGCTGGTCCCCAGCTGGGAGCCTGAGTACGGCTGCGGAAACTGCGGCCGGCGGCTGGGCCTTGTCCCAGACAAAGGCCAGGCCACTCCCAGGCCCAATTAAGCCGCCTGCCTCCCTGGCCTCCCAGCCTTCATTGTTCCCGGGGTCGCCAATTAGCCCAGGCGCCCCGCGTACCCGCTGCTCCGGTGCCCCAAGGCCTCCTTAACCCTTCAGGGGCGGGCACCAGAGGCTCTGGGCGGCAAAGCTGCCACCCTCGGGCATGTGTGGGGGTCGGGGGATTGAGGAGGCGGGGGCCTGCTGGTGCCGTGGGACCTCGTGCAGTGAAGTGTGGGTTCGGAGAGGGCATTGTGCGTGTGGGGGTGGGACCGTGAGGGGCTTCACTGCAGAACTCGGGCCTGAGGGTGTGCGGGGCTCCGTGAGACCCCTAGCGGCTGAGCCGCGCGCATCCCGAGACCTCCGCGACCGCGTCTCCTCTCCGGTTAATCGGAGTTTTCAAGGCATCCCCAACCCCTCCTCCGCCGCTGCTGCTGAGATCCGGAGCAAGAGTGGCCTTGCCCTAGGGCGCAGAACCCGGGCCACTTTCCCAGCGCTCGCCCCTCCGACGCTGGGCATTCCTGGGGGCAGGAGGGCGCGCTCAACCCCACGCTCCTCAAGACGCCCCCACGTAAACCCCGGGCTTGAGGCCCCGACCCCACACCCTCCCATACACACACCTTCCTGGCTATGGGGCGGCCCGGGAGGGACAATCTCAATGAGTCCGAGATATAAACTCTGAGCTTGCCTTCCTCCGCTATGGGAAGGACTCAGCAGCGGAGGGGAGTCCCGAGCGCACTTGGGGACTGGGGCAAAGGGCAGGGAGTCCCGGACTTCAGGAGTGGAGGCCCTTGGTGTTCCTTTTCTGCTCTACCTCATTTGCTGGGGCCAGGAAGCTTGAACCTACTCCGAAAGCACCAGTTTTCCAAAGTGTAAGACCACCTCTGTTTCCCTGGCTCCCGCCTTTGGCACTGCCAGCAGCTCCCTGCCAGGAACCAACCTGGAGCCCGCGCGATCCCCAGGCCGCGGCAACTCCACAAATGTCCACGAGATGGCGCCGCAGGCCAGGGGCCCGGCTGCGGCAGCACAGCGGGTCCCGGTCTAGGGCCCAAGGTTGGTGGACCTGCACACAGTGAGATGGACACAGGCACAGAACCACGGACTGACGTAGATCCAGACCCAGACACTGGTACAGGCAGCTGAGGGGCTCCGGACGGAGGCTGCGGACACACATGGACCCGAGGGCCTGAGACTCAGGATGGGGCCGCCCTACAGTTTCAATGCCCCTGCTTGGAGGCCCAGCTGTAAACACCGGCCTGCGGTCTTCTGTGTGCTTGGCCGGAACCCTCGAGATCCCTCTCAGGGCAACGTGGCCACCTGACTCCCGTCTTTAGAAGCGAGGCTGTGGCTAGGATGGGATCCACAGGCATCAGGTGATGCCTCTAGCCGGCAGGAGCACTGTTAGAGAACCCTCGACAGCTGGTGCATGGGGGTGAGAAGTTCAGGCTGCTCTGGAATCCACAGGGATCCTCCCACCACCGCCCAGGGATCCGCCTTGGCTGCTACTTGCCCCTCCTCAATACCCTCACCAAGTCTTCAGGGTGAGGGGAAGGATGTGAAGTTGTTCACCTAAGATCCTGCCAGAGGCCCAGGGGAAGCTTTGGGTCTGTGTTATTCCAGCAGGAGGTGGTGGGGAATGGGAGGCACAGGGGTCAGCCTGGGAATTTCTCCCTTGGATTAAAAGCCAGCAGAGTGTGTGTACCCCTGGCTGAGGAATGCCATAGTGGAGCAGGGGTGTGGGGGCGAGGTTTGAGTCTTTAATGTCCCCAGATGAGCTATAGCAAACTGGAGATTAAACCCTACATACCACTAGAAAGCAGCCCAGTTAAGGCCAGGATTATTTCCACTTCCGCAGTCACCAGCCTGGTCTCTTCCCAGCACTAAGCTCTCAGCTTCCCCTTCACAGTACCACATAACAAAGGATAGGACTAAACTTTTGCTAATTTAGTAATTATCTCCATGTCCATCAAGGGCCGAAGCAGCTGCTTAGTAGGAAAACTAGACAAGAGACAGGTAACAAGGTCAAACTCTGTCTCTAGCTGTAAGACCCTGGACAATAGGACTTCATATTGTGGGGCCCAGAATCCTCTTCTGCAAAACAAGTAGTTGGACTACAATCAAATTGGTCTGTGAATGACCAGTTGACCTTGGCCCAGTTTCCAGTGACATCCCCAGCCTCAACAGCTTCAGACAAGAGCCAAGGACTATGCTCCCATTTAATGCTTGAGGAACCTGGACCTGAGAGATAGGTGAAGTCCTTCACAGACCTTGGAGACCTTGGCTGTTGTTGCTAAGATTCTTGGGGTGGGGGTGGGGGCAGGGCTAGTGGCCTGGATGAATTCCCAATAAGGAAATTGCATTCTAGGTCTTGAAAACCTCCCAGAACGGCTGGCTCCAGCTGCCTCCACTCCCTCTGGGATATGGTTATCATGTACTGCTTTGCTTTCTACCTTAGAGCATGCTGCTTTTCAGAGACACAGACTGATGGGTTGGGGGCGGGGGGGGGGTGTGACTTTAGCACTTAGCACCACAGTTTGTTGACTACATGTAACTTCTCCCCAAAGTCAGAAAAGGATACCAATGGAGGACATTCCACCACCCATGTTTAAGGGTGTCACCCAGATCTAGGGTAGCCAACTGGCTAATTCTTCACCTGTGTGGAAAGCTTTAGGGCATTCAAACGCTTTCACTGACCCCTCAGTGGAAGGGAGAGATCACTAGCCCCCATTTCACAGACAATGACATTGAGGTTTAAAAAAATTAAGTGATGTGCCAGGGCCATCTGATAAATAAAGGACAGAGCTCTTTTGAAATCCCATGGGCCTGGCCCTTGGAAACATAAACTAATGAAGTGATGATGGTTGAGAGTCAGCCTTCTTGCTGGGAAAGGGCAAAGGGGCTGGGGGAGTGCCCGGATATCCTGGCCAGGAGGTGTGTTCATGGGAGAAGCGGCCTGACTCAGAGCCCAGATCCAGGCTGTCAGGGGGGAGGGCAGCCTCCAGGCAGCCCAGCATGGGGGAAGGGCTTGTGTAAGCAGTAACAGGGGCTTGAGAGGATTACCTGAAACAGTGCTTGGACAGGCTCATGTTCACTGTCATTATTTATTTTCCTACCAAAGAGAACAGACAGGATGTCCTTGAATCCCATGGTGCCTACACCTCAGTCTGACAAGAGGACCCATGAACATCCACCATGTGCTTCAGGCACACACGCACACACACACACATTTCATTCTCCGCACT